TCCTAGGTCAATGCTCAGCCACTGAGCCACGCAGGCTGGACGCTGGTAACATTTATTGAACACCAATAAGTGTCAGCGTTCAATAAACAGCAGCACCTGTTCTCATTATGTAACGATGACATCAAGTAACGATGACATTCTCATTACGAATGTCATCGTTACCTGATAAAAGGCTGGTCTGCATTGGGACAGAAATGCAACCAAGAGATGCCTCATCGTTTCCATCTGAAAATGCAGACCCCAGCACGGCCAGCGTGACTCAACCTAGGAACCACGAGGCCAGGCTTCGATTCCCGGTCAGGCACAAGCCCGGGTTGTGGGCTCCATCCCCATGTTGGGGCCGTGCAGGAGGCAGCCGGTCCATGATTCTCATCATTGACGTTTCTCTCCCTCCCCCTCCCCCTTCCTCTCTGGAATCAATGTAAACGTATTTAAGAATCAAACATAAACGTGCAGACCCCAGCACCCCGTCACACAGTCTGCCCAGGTCCCTGCCAGCCAGGAGGGGAAGGAAGGGTGAGCAGGCCCATCCGCCTCTCCGACGCCTTCTCATGGTCACCGTCCCCAAATTTCTCTTCCTTCTTCAGGGTCAGAGAGGAGCTGAGTCCTCAGGAAAATCGTCCTTAATCCCCACATCCCAGAGCCCCCCGAAAACCTCCCCCTCCCCTCCCCGAGTTCTCGGGGTCAGGGCCAAGGGCAGCGATCCGGGGAGCTGGGGTCAGACAGAGCCATGGAGGCCGGCCAGGGCCGGGCACGTGTAACCGCTTCCTACTCTGTTCCAGCGTTCAACGTCGTGCTAAATTTCGGAATCGCCGTCACCTATCCCACCCTGATGTCCCTCGGAATCGTCCTCAGCGTTCCTGTGAATGCAGGTGAGCCTCCGCTGGGTCGTAAACAGACACACGTCTGCACATGCGTCCACACGCTTCCACACACACAGCCCCTTGGAGCCTGCCTCCTGACCCCTCGCTGGCTTGTCTCTTCCGTCACGCTGGGAGGGACCAAGCACGTATATCGATTATCTGCACCAGTTCTGTTCCAGTTTGATCTTCAAGACGTAGAGATGTACCGAAACCGGGGTGGCTCAGTGGATAGAGCGTCGCCCTGCGGACTGAAAGGTCCCGGGTTCGATTCCGGTCAAGGGCATGTACCTGGGTTGCGAGCACATCCCCAGTAGGGGGTGTGCAGGAGGCAGCTGATCGATGATTCTCTCTCATCGATGTTTCTAACTCTCTGTTCCTCTCTGTAAAAAAAAAAAATCAATAAAATATATTTTTAAAAACAAAAACATAGAGATGTGCATACATGATGGATGAAGTGATGCTCTCAAATTCCAAGAATAAAGCATGTCGTTGTAGAGACCACGGAAAGTACCAAAAATATAGAGGAACCATCACGTGGTCATTGCCCGGACACCCACAGGCAAGCTCTGGTTTATACAGGATGGAGCCTGTGGTTGCGAGCAGGTCAAACACAGTTTATTCTTGGGTTATTATTTAGTAATTATTATATTCTTTTTTTTCATTTTCTTGTCAGGGAGAGGGATAGAGAAAGAGAAAAACAACAATGATGAGAGAGAATCATGGATCGGCTGCCTCCCGCACGCCCTCTTCTGGGGATCGAGCCCAAAACCCGGGCATGTGCCCTGACCGGGAATCGAACCCGTGACTTCCTGGTTCATGAGCTGACTCTTAACCCCTGAGCCACACTGGCCGGGCAATCGTTGTATTATTTTTTACATATGAACAGCGGTCAACCTATGTGTGCCCGCCCCCTGCCTATTCGCCTAACAAATCCGTGTCTGAACCTCGCGGGAGGGAGTGAGGGGTGAAGTGCCTGCGGCAGCCCCTGCCACCGGGAACAGAACCAAAGGACGGACGGTTCTGCCTTAGCCGGTGTGGCTCAGTGGATAGAGCGTCGGCTCATGGACTGAAGGGTCCCGGGGTCGATTCCGGTCAAGGGCACAAACAAGCCCAGTTGTGGGCTCGATCAACCAGTGTGGGGCGTGCAGGAGGCAGCCGACCCATGATTCTCTCTCATCATGGGTGCTTCTCTCTCACTCCCTCTCCCTTCATCTCTGGAATCAATATATATATATATATAGTTTTAATATATTTCATTGATTTTTTTACAGAGAGGAAGAGAGAGGGACAGAGAGCTAGAAACATCAATGAGAGAGAATCATTGATCAGCTGCCTCCTGCTCACCCCCTACTGGGGATGTGCCCACCACCAAGGTACTTGACCGGAATCGAACCCGGGACCTTTCAGTCCAGAGGCCGACGCTCTATCCACTGAGCCAAACCGGTTTCGGCTAAAAATATATATATATTTTTTAAAAAGAATCTTCCTTTTTTTAAAAAATAATTTTTAGCTGAAACCTTTGAGAAGACGGCCCGCCCCCCTGTGAGGACCCAGCCCCTGTGCCCTTGCCCCCCCTCGGGCCTGGCTCCCCGCTGAGTAACCCCGTTCTCCGCCCTTCCCCCCCGCCCCCTCCGCAGTGGTCGACCACTACACCACCAACATCGTCTTCAACGGGGTCCGGGTCATCGCCATCGTCATCATCGGCCTGGGCTTCCTCCTGCTGCTGCTGCCAGAGGAGTGGGACGTCTGGCTGGTCAAGCTGCTCACCCGCCTCAAGGTCAGGAAGAAGGAGGAGCCGGCGGAGGGCGGCGGGGACCTGGGCTCCGGCCCCCAGAACAGGAGGAGGGCCCGGCCCTCCTTCGCCCGCTGACCGGCCGGCCGGCCTCCAGGACACGCCGGGGGGCGACGCTCGCGTGAAGGAAGGATCCGGAGCCGCCTCCCTCGGCGGGCGGGCAGGCGTGCACATACGTGTACAGTCCGGGTCACCGGGGTGAGTCCCACGGACGGTATAGTCATGGGCATGTCCGATGCGCTTGCTCTCGTCCACATCAGACCTTCCTCGTACGGTACCCGCCGCCTCCACACACACGAGAGAAGACCCCCAGCTCGTTCTCAATGAATGGAGAGCGTGCGGGAACCATCGGGGGGGCGGGCCACATGTTCTGGATCTTCTCGACCGAAAACCCCATTGCACACTGTGATTCCTTCCCGGCGGCGGTGGCAGCGGGAGGTCATCCTTTGTCTCATGCCAGAGCCGGACTCTTTATTTCTCAAGCGATCGCAAGGAACCAAAGGATAGCTGTGAGTGAGTTCGGGTGGACAGGCGGAGAGGAAGAGGGGACACGCAGAAGGAGAACGGACATTGTAAGCCATCTCTAGGACCAGCCCGGTGGGCGGTGGGGGGGAGGGGGGAGCAGGTGGAGGAGGTCATGGGGGGCATCGTCCCACCCCGCCAGCTCTCTCTCTCTCTCTCTCTCCCTCGAGTGTCTGTCCAAGGTCCCACGGGAGACATTCCAGTGCCTTTTACAGAAACTTCATCTTGGCCTATGTGTGAAGCCAGGGACAATTCTCCGTCACTGGCTCCATCTTATCGTTCAGATGTACAAATCTTTAAAAAAGCAAACAAAAAAAAAAACACAATAAAACTACATATTACGGGTGTGTGTGTGTGTGTGTGTGTGTGTGTCCAGAAATGGCCAAGCTGACGGTGATGTGATGGAGCGTGTTCTCGGTGGGACCACGGAGGAGGGTCCTCTGAGTGACTGTGACGGAAGTATGACCTCCTGTACCCGTGCACCTTCTGCTGAGACGCGTCACGCCAGGCTGTTGACTTCCACCGCGTAGCTCTGCCAGGGAATTCTACCTGCGATGGATCTGCAGAAGAGGGACCAGGGGGGTTCAGAGTTTACTGTTTTTTGACGTTTACATTGTTACATACGAAAGGGAAAAGCTTATTTTGAAAACGCTGTCATAACCCTCCAAAGGTGCATAGGGGCACGGGGGCCCCGGGGACCAGAACTTTTTAGCCGATTATTATTTTTCTCCGTTTCCATGACCTGCGGGGCCCAACAGATGAATAAAGAGTTTAAAAAGAAGCGTGTGGTTGTCTTGATGGTGACGGGGTGATGTACCCAGCACCCCGGTTCCGACTTCCTTGTCGTCCTTAAAGCTTTCTCTCCCTGCCAGGCACCCAGACCCACCCGACTTGGGGAAGGAAAGACAATTCCGAGGAGTGAAAGGCAGGCAGGCCTCCAGAAGACAAGCCCTGAGCCCGTGACATCAAGGACACAGCGCTGGCCTGGCAGGCATGGCTCAGTGGTTGAGTGTCGACCTCTGAACCAGGAGATCAGGGTTCGATTCCTGGTCAGGGCACAGGCCTGGGTTGCCAGCTGGATCCCCAGGGTGGGGTGTGCAGGAAGCAGCCGATCTATGATTCTCTCTCATCATTGATGTTTCTCTCCCTCTCCCTTCCTCTCTGAAATCAATAAAAATATGTATATAAAAAAGAATGCATTTTTTATTTAAAAAAAAAATATTTTATTGATTTTTTTACAGAGAGGAAGAGAGAGGGAAAGAAACATCGATGAGAGAGAATCATCGATCAGCTGCCTCCTGCACACCCCACACTGGGGATGTGCCCGCAACCAAGGTCCATGCCTTTGACCGGAATCGAACCTGGGACCCTTCAGTCCGCAGGCTGACGCTCTATCCACTGAGCCACACTGGTTTTGGCAAGAAAATTAAAAAAAAAAATTTTTAATTTTTTAAAAATCTGGGAAGGGAGGAATCGAACGTGCGCAACTGGTGCTCGCTCGGCCCTGCCCTCCTCCCGCCGGTACCAGTTCCACGTGGTCGCCGGCCAGTGCCCACGCCTAAACCTTCCGGGTGGCGGAAGGCGAGACTGAGAGCTTCCGGTCCGGGAAAGGGGACTAGTGCGTCTCAGCCGGAACCTGCGAGGGGGCGGGGCGGGACCACACACGTGACCCAGGCCGGTGGGCGGAGCCAAAGGACCACCTTCTGGTCCCAGGCACCAGCCCCTCGCCCAGCATGGCGGAAGTCCCGCCCCAGGGGAGCGAGCGGAGCCGGAAGTCCCGCCTCCCGGCACGTCGACGGCGGCCGGCGAGGGTCATTGCGACGCCGGCGACCCCGCCGGGCGAGTTGCTGGCAGGTGGCGCCGAGGTCTCCGTGCCTGAGCCCAGCGCGCGGGGCGGCGTGACCCCTGCGGCGCCGGGACTCGGGGCGCGCGGCCCGTTCTGCCCTCGGAGCGGACGGAGAGGCAGGTTTGCTGCCGGCCGGCGGCGGGGGGCGGGGGCCGGGAGGACGCCGGCTCCCGCGAGCTGCGGTCCCTCGTGCGCACGGCGGGTGGATTTCGCCCCATTTGCAGGGAGAGTGGGTTGGTGCGAACCGCACCCGGGAGAGGGGGCGCCGCGGCCCCCGTGTTACCGACGGGGAAGCGGCTGGAGCCTGTGAGCGAGCGCCCCTCCGGGCCCGGGGCCCCCCAGGCCGCCGCCCGCGGTCGGCTGCTCAGGTGCCGGCTATGCGGGCTGATGGCTCCCAGCTGCGCCTCCGGCCGCCGCGCCCGCAGGCTCAGGGCTGGAGCGTTGACCTATGAACCTGGAGGTCAGGGTTCAATTCCCCATCGGGGCACGCGCTGGATCCCCAGGGTGGGGCGTGCAGGAGGCGGCCGATCCATGATTCTCTCTCATCATGGATACTTCTCTCTCTGACATCAGTAAAAAGTTTTTAAAAAATATAATTCATGGATTTTTACAGAGAGGAAGGGAGAGGGATGAGAGTTTGAAACATCGATGCGAGAGAATCATGACCTTGACCGGAATCGAACCTTAAGTCCGCAGGCCGACGCTCTATCCACTGAGCCACACTGGTTTCAGCAGTTAAGTTTTTTTTTTGTTTGTTTGTTTTTAATACATTTTATTGATATTTTACAGAGAGGAAGGGAGAGAGATAGAGAGCTAGAAACGTCGATGAGAGAGAAACATTGACCAGCTGCCTCCTGCACACCCCCTACTGGGGATGTGCCCGCAACCAACGTACATGTACATGCCCTTGACCGGAATCGAACCTGGGACCTTTCAGTCCGCAGACCCACGCTCTACCACTGAGCCACACCGGTTATGGCCAGCAGTGAAAAGTTTTTGTGTTTTTTTTTTAATTTTTTATTGATTTTTTACAGAGAGGAAGAAAGAGGAATAGAGAGAAACATCGATGAGAGAGAATCATCGATCAGCTGCCTCCTGCGCACCCCTTACTGGGGATGTGCCCGCAACCAAGGCACATGCCCTTGACCGGAGTCCAACCTGGGACCCTTCAGTCCGCAGGCCGACGCTCTATCCACTGAGCCACACCGGTTTCGGCCGTGAAAAGTTTTTGTGGTTTTTTTTTTTATTGATTTTTTTTAGAGAGGAAGAAAGGGGTTAAAGATTTAAAAAATAATAATAATAAAGACCTCGGCGTCGCTTAGAGAAGCCGGGCGGGTGGGGAGCGCCGAGCTGCTCGGCCTCGGCCCTGACGCCCGTGTCCTGGCCGGCAGGAGCCGGGATGGCGGCGCCCACCATGAAGGAGCGGCAGGCGTGCTGGGGCGCCCGGGACGAGTACTGGCGGTGCCTGGACGAGCACGAGGGGGACGCCGGCCCCTGCCGGACGCTGCGACGCTCCTTCGAGGCCAGCTGCCCGCAGCAGTGGGTGAGCCCCGCCCGCCCGCCCGCCCGCGGGCCGGCCCCTCCGCCGGGGGTGCACAGATTGGGGTGTCGGGGTGGGAGGGCGGGGGAACGTGCTGATTCGGATGGAGGTGCTGGCGTGGGCGTGTGGGGTCCCGAGGGAACCTTGTGGGGTCAGCCAGGCCGCTGGCTGGCATCAGGCCCCCCCCCCCCACGGAGGATCATGGAAGAACAACACGCACCCCGTGACTGTAGCCCCCCAGACCCAGCCCGCCACGTGGGTAGACTTCTCCGGGAACTGCCTGCGGGGCAAGAGGAGGCACAGCCACTGGCCCGGAGCCCCCTCACCGAGCACCCACGCCCAGGGGCCCACCCCAGACCACAGCATCCCAGACTAAGGCAACCAGACGTCCCGCGTCCCTCGGCGTTTTAAAAAAGTCCCGGGACACGGGACAGATTGTTAAAAATGGGGACTGTCCCGCCAAAAGCCTTATCCTAGACCCAGCAATCAACGGAGATGTGCCTGGGGCCGATTCTGCCCCCAGTGCCTCCCTGACGGGGCCGTGCCCTGCCGGCGGGTCCTTAGAATGGCAGGGGCTGTGGGAGGGGACCAACAGCGTTGAGCCCATCGGTGATCCTGTGTTAAGGGGGACGTGCCTTCTGTGAGTGCCCTCAGTGCTGTTGGGCCCGGCCGGTGTTGCTCAGTGGTGAGTGTCGACCTATGAACCGGGACAGTGGTCGGCAAACTGCTGCTCACGAGCCACATGCGGCTCTTTGGCCCCTGGAGTGTGGCTCTTCCACAGAACACCACGGCCTGGGCGAGTCCATGTGGAAGAAGTGGCGTTAGAAGAAGTTTAAGTTTAAAAATTGTGGCTCTCCGAAGAAATGTCAGTCGTCGTCCTGTTGCTATTTGGCTCTGCGGACTAATGAGTTTGCCGACCACTGAACCAGGAGGTCACGGTTAGGTGACCAACCGTGATTTTGGGCTCATGTCCAGGTTTGGGGGAGGTGGGAGGAGCATGCGGGAGGCAGCTGGTGGATGATTGTCGTCATTGATGTTTCTATCGCTCTCCCTGTTTCTGAAATCAATGAAAAACACCATGAAGTAATAAATGAGTGCTGCTGCCCTCGGCGGTGGCAGCTGACGCTCAGAGCGGCCTCTCTGCTTGTCCACAGCGTGTGCTGCCCCGTCTCCCGGTGGTGAGAGAGCAGGTGGCGCTAGAGTGGAGTGGCTTTAGGGTCTTCACGGCCTCACGCCCGATCATTGGAGAGGAGCTGGGGCTCGGAGGGGACCCCGGGGGTGATGGAGGTGCGGTCCTGCTGGGGCCAGGCTGGGCGTGAGCTCGGGGACAGAGGTTGCACTGGGGACCTCTTGGTCTGTAAACCAGCAGGACACACCCTCTCTGTGGACTTCTGTGAAGGTCCAGTGTCTGACGACACAGAAGCTGAACGCTGGTCTGGGGGGGCCTGCTGGCTGAGTAGGTAAGGATGGAGGCCCCCACAATGCACTCCTGGTTACTCCCCTGGTCTCAGCCTTCCTGACGCCGCCCTCTAATCCAGCTCCTCATGCTGTGGTGACCCCCAACCATAACGTTATTGCCGTTGCTGCTTCATAGCTGTAATGTTGCTACTGTTATGAGCCTTAATGCAAATATCTGTGTTTCCTGATGGACTTAGGCGACCCTGCTGGTGTGGGGCGACCCACAGGTTGAGAATTGCTGCTGTGGAGCCTAAGACCATCGGAGGTTGGGGGTCACCACAACATGAGGAGCTGTATTAAAGGGTCGCAGCATTAGAAGGTTGGGAACCACTGGCATTGGTTGGCAGACTGCGGCTCTCGGGCCACATGCGGCTCTTTGGCCCCTTGAATGTGGCTCTTCACAAAATACCACGTGTGGGCACACACGTACAGTGCAATCGAAACTTCGTGGCCCATGCGCAGAAGTTGGTTTCGGCTCTCAAAAGACATTTCAATCATCATGCTGTTGATATTTGGCTCTGTTGACTAATGCGTTTGCCAAGGTTGGCAAACTGCGGCTCTTTGGCCCCTGGAGGGTGGCTCTTCCACAAAACACCATGGCCTGGGCGAGTCTATGTTGAAGAAGTGGCGTTAGAAGTTTAAGTTTAAAAACTGTGGCTCTTTGAAGAAATGTCCATCGTTGTGCTGTTGAGATTTGGCTCTGTGGACGGATGAGTTTACCGACCGCTGCCTTCGAGGGATTCACTGATGGGCTCCTGGTTCGGAGTTTGGGCTGAGGTCACACCTGATTGCTGTCAGGCCCTGATGCCCTCACTGCCCACACGCCCGCTCCCCCCCACCCCGCCCGCCTGTGGTCCCTGAGCAGCAGGGCCTGGGGACGGGAGGGACCTGGTCCCTGGAGGCAGGAGTGATGTGGGTGAAGGGCAGGGTGCTGGGGGGCCACCCCATTTCCCCAGGAGATCCCTGACAGTCCAGCCATCATTTTCCACACCGGCTGCATGTCAGAATCCAGTGGAGTTTAAAAAACGAGGAGCTGTGCCCCAGCCTCAGCTGTGGCTGGAAAGAGAACCCAAACTTGTTTGGAAAGCGCTGGGGTCACAGGTGAGGCTGGTGGGGAGGGCGGCCTGGGCTCTTCCTCCCGCTGCCCTGCTTCAGGCGGCTGTGCTCTCCTCACACACGGGCTGGTGCCCCCGAGGCCTCGCCCCCCGCCTGCTCACAGCTCACAGGCCCCGAGTGCAGGCTTCCGCCTCACCGGGTCACCTGTCCTTTATCCTCCCACCCACCGCGACCACTGAGCCACACTGCCAACCCTGAGTCTGGTGTTGCTGAGTCCAGTTTGCTAGGATTTTGTGGAGGATTTTCTCGTCAAGGATCTCGGCCTGTCACTTCTTTTTTGGTCACATCTTTTCCTGGTTGGGGGTCAGCAATGCTGGCTTCCTGGAATGAGGGAGGGAGCATTCGTTCCTCTTCCGTGTTCTTTGAAGTCATTTAAGGAGAGGGATTAATTCTCTAAGTCACATGTGTCAAACACAAGGCCCGCCAGGCCTTGCAATGTGGCCCGCACCGCGCTGTCATCACTGCACTCCGCTGCGTTTCCATCACAATGGCAGTTTATGACTGTTCAGTAAACCATTCAGCCCGCGATTTAGGCTGGATTTTAGATTTTGGCCCCTTCTCTGATTGAGTTCGACACCCCTACTCTAAGTGTTTGCTGGGATTCACCTGGGAAGTGGTCTGGCCCCGGACCTTTGCTTGCTGGGAGTTTTTTGATTATGCTTTAATTTCATTACTAGTGAAGTCTGTTCAGTTTTTTTTTTTTCTTCCTGGTTCAGTCCTGGGAGGTTATAGACTTCAGGAAAATTGAATTTGTTGGCATCCTTAATGTTTTATATTTCTGTGGTGTCATTTGTAACTTCTCTCATTTATGAATTTATTTGGGGTCTCTTATTCTTGATGAGTTTGGCTAACGTTTTGTCAATTTTGTCTTTTCAAAGAACCAGCTCGAAGTTTCCTTGATCTTTTCTATGGGGGGTGTTCTTTTTCTAGTTCCTTTTTAGTTGTAAACTTGGTTTGTTTGGGATTTTTCTTATTTGAGGTGCATAGCTTAGAACTGCTGTTGCTGCAGCCATAAAATTTGCAAAGTTGTGTTTTCATTTGTCTCCTGGTAGTTTATTTCCTAATTGATTTTGATTGCTTATTCAAGGGCTCAGTAGGGTCTGTAATCCAAAAGGGTTGTGACTTATTGGTCTACATCCTTTTCCAAGACTTTTATGCATCCAATGTACTTTGAGATGTTCTAGAATATAACTGACTCAGGCCGCTTACACATTCTGTATTGACTATAAGCTGTTACATTTAATCTGTACTTTGTTTATCCAAGCTGCATAACCCGACCTTATTTCAGACCCCTTTTTCTCAACAGATAAAATATTTTGATAAAAGAAGAGACTACTTAAAATTTAAAGAAAAATTTGAAGCCGGACAGTTCCAGCCTTCAACCACCGCCAAGTCGTAGGCTGTTCCCGGCCTCTCCGAAAGGTAGACTCTTTTTCTGGACGTTTGCACACGCTCCACGGACTGCGGTGGCTCCAGGCACAGTAAACACCAGCCCCTCTGCCGTGTTAATGAAAACCATCAGGTAGCAGAGAACTGCCACAGTGGTATGAAACTGCTCAGCTTTAATTCAGTAAGAGCTCTAGTTTAAGAATTAAAGCCTGTTCTGAAAACACATGTGCCTGTTGTTTTGGTTAGAGCAGTGGTCAGCAAACTGCGGCTCACAAGCCACATGCGGCTCTTTGGCCCCTGGAGTTTTTAGCAAAGGCCATCTTAGAAATACCCTAATTAAGTTAATAAACTATGTTTAAAAAATTTGGGTCTCAAATTTTAATCATTGTACTGTTTATGTTTGGCTCTGTTGACTAATGAGTTTGCCGACCACCGGACTAGAGGATGGTAGTGGGCAGCTACTGTAAATAAAGCAGGTTGTCATGTGTGTCCTAGGAGTTAACATTTTAATAGCGGCACACACCAAAACATGGTGATAGGAAGAACCTAAACTGTACAGCTAAAATAGCTAATATGCCCAACGATGGCCCAAGGAATGTTTTCCCCCCCAAATCAGGAACAAGGTAAGGATGTCCTCTCTCCTGTTCACCAGCACACTGGGCTCCTGCCTACTAAGAAAAAACAGTTTCTAGGAAAGAAATGATCTTTTAGAAATAAAGTTTTATTTCCACAGTTGCTTAAAACATTTTACTAAAGAAGCAATATAATTTATCGTAATGTGTTTAAGGCACATGAAAAAGTTTGGCATTAAGTTATAAGGAAAAAGATGTACAAATTATTCTGGTAAATCCAGAATCTGTGTCTAACTGTCCCCATAGCATCGATACCTCCCCCCGGAGGAGGGGCTCAGGCCTGGGCGCCCCTCAGAGGAACGAGGGCCCCCCCGGAGGAGGGGCTCAGGCCTGGGGGCCCCCTCAGAGGAACGAGGGTCCCCCCGGAGGAGGGGCTCAGGCCTGGGGGCCCCCTCAGAGGAACGAGGGTCCCCCCGGAGGAGGGGCTCAGGCCTGGGGGCCCCCTCAGAGGAACGAGGGTCCCCCCGGAGGAGGGGCTCAGGCCTGGGGCCCCCTCAGAGGAACGAGGGTCCCCCCGGAGGAGGGGCTCAGGCCTGGGGGCCCCCTCAGAGGAACGAGGGTCCCCCCGGAGGAGGGGCTCAGGCCTGGGGGCCCCCTCAGAGGAACGAGGGTCCCCCCGGAGGAGGGGCTCAGGCCTGGGGGCCCCCTCAGAGGAACGAGGGTCCCCCCGGAGGAGGGGCTCAGGCCTGGGGGCCCCCTCAGAGGAACGAGGGTCCCCCCGGAGGAGGGGCTCAGGCCTGGGGGGCCCCTCAGAGGAACGAGGGTCCCCCCGGAGGAGGGGCTCAGGCCTGGGGGGCCCCTCAGAGGAACGAGGGTCCCCCCGGAGGAGGGGCTCAGGCCTGGGGGGCCCCTCAGAGGAACGAGGGTCCCCCCGGAGGAGGGGCTCAGGCCTGGGGGGCCCCTCAGAGGAACGAGGGTCCCCCCGGAGGAGGGGCTCAGGCCTGGGGGCCCTCAGAGGAACGAGGGTCCCCCCGGAGGAGGGGCTCAGGCCTGGGCGCCCCCGCGCCGGCGCAGCTGCTGCCGGGCGTACTCCCACACCAGCAGGGCGCCGCTCACGTGCACGTTGAGCGAGCGGGTGACGCCCTGCTGCGGGATCTCCACGCACACGTCCAGCTGCTGGATCAGCCCGGCCGGGATGCCCTCCCGCTCGTTCCTGTGAGGGGAGAGGACAGGTAGTGTTTTCCCAGGCAGCCTGGGCTTTCTTTTTCCTGCTTTAGTCTGGGAGAAAGGGCCAGTATAGGAGACGAGGGAAATGAGGATAAAAGACGTGCCGGCAGCTGTGGTCACCGGACCACCCGCCCCGGGGCTTCCCAGCAGCGTCGCAGGCCAGTGCCGGTGTCCGTGTAGCGTGGGGAGTCAGGTAACCTGCTGAGCCACAAGGATGCTCTCACCCCAGCAGCAGCAGCGACCGCTCCGGGAAGCAGTACTGGGTCAGGGCGGTGCTGCGGGCCGTCTGCTCCACGCCGATGACCGTGTAGCCCTCCGCCTGCTTCTGGCGCAGGTAGCCCGCCAGCTGCGGCGGCTTCACCTGCAGCCATTTCAAGAGCAGAAAGTCAGTCCCAGCTTCGCTGAGAGAGTTTAAAAACACCCACCAGGCTGAGCTTGCGTAAGTCTTTTAAAAAAGAACTAGACGCTATAAACAAGAACTCCCAACACCACAGACACGTATAGTTATTCCTACACCAGGAAGGCGTGCTTTCCCGGAAGGAATCCTACACGACTGGTTTCTAAAAGCAGCACCACGTGGAGATGAGGGAACCTGGGAACAGCGTTGGGCTGTTTGACTTGAACGTTAACTGCTGTGAATTCCTGCCCCTGAGCCGACCAGAGGAAAGACTGAAGCCCATCGCCCCCAGCCGGGGCCCTGCCACCCACCTCCACCAGAGGCAGCCACTGCTCCGCCGAGACGCTGAGCTGCTGGAACTGCTTGTCGCTGACGCACTGCAGGCTGCCGACCACCAGCGCCGCCGCCCCGAACACCTCGCAGGTGCGGCACAGGCCTGCGGAGAAGCGGGGACCGTCAGCGTGAGGCCGAGCGCAGTGCCCACACCCTGCCTCCCGCAGCGGCCGCCGGGAAGACGGCCACATGGCCGTGCGCTGACGGCCGCTCAGGATCTGCGGGTCTGGGGGCCCCGGACGCAGCTACCTCCCAGGTTGGTGGGCTTGTCGATGAGGGAGGCCACGACGATCAGGCGGCTGATGGCCTTGCCCAGCTTGGCAGCGCGGTCCTGGAACGCCAGCTCCAGGTCTGCGTCGGGAGCCGCGTGTCTCCACGGGAGAATCTTCTTCTGAACGTCCGTCCACTCGGACTGCTGGTCGGCGTCACCGCAGCGGGCGCCTGGCAGGAGAGGAGAAGCCCTGTGGAGACCAGTCCCGCGTGTGCTGTGCTACGTCCCTGCAGGAGAGGCCGGGGCGGAGCGGCGGGAGGGGGCAGGGTCAGTCCCGCTGGGAGCCATGGCACTGAGAGCGGCGGAGGGTCCCGCCCGGGAGCGGCCGGGCAGAGGAGACCAAGTGCAGCGAGGGCCGTGGCTAGGGGTTCGGGAGAACCAGTGGACTGGCAGCGAGAATGCAGACCCCGGGGCACAGCTGTTGGGATCGGTTGTGGCTTTAAAAAGAGCTTGGCCTTGGATGGCTCGGTTGCGAGGCTATGAGGGAAGAGCAGGGGAGTGGGCCGGAGGGAGACAGCGGGAAGCGGTTGCCAACCAGCGAGGATGGACTAGAACCCAGGTCTCTACTTCACTCAGAATTTGGCCCTTTTTAAAACCTCTTTTACGGAAACATATAGTGGGAAAGCAGTGAGCATTAACAAGATTTCTAAGGAGAATTCATGAGGAAGCAGATGCGCGCGCTGGCTTTCCACAGCGAAGCCGAGGCCCTGAACGTGCCGGCGGTTCCACCACGTGCCCGTCTGCTCCATGGGAGCGAGTTCCCGGCCTCGGGAGAGCCTGCATCAGCCCGGCGGGTCTGGGCCGCCCCAGCCGGCAGCCAGCAGTGGGAGGGAGACACTCACCCGCGTCCTGCTGGGCCCAGTCCCCCGGCCTCAGCTCCCGCAGCTGCGTCGCGGAGAGGTAGCGGAGCGCCCCGGCCCCCGAGGGCAGGTCCGTGAACTTGGCAAACTTGTCGATGGCGATCCACTCGTCTTCAACAAGGCCTGCAAGGCGCGGAAGGATGTGAAATATGGTCTGAAAAGGAAATTGTGAAATCTAAACTTTCCCCTTAAAAACGACAAAGTAGCAAAGAAATACAAATGTTTAAAGTACAACTGATTATTACTCATGTATTCCCCAGACTATCCTGCCTGGTCCAAGTACATCCAAGTACTGCCATGTGTCTGACTGTCCTTTTTAAGAACCTGCGAGCAGCAGGTCTCGAACTCGGGTCCCTAATGTACTGACGGCCCATGGCGGAGTCAGTACTGATGCTGGTAGCGTTTGGACAAGTGCTGTTCACTGACCCCGCCCTCTCCATAGCACCAGGCCAAGCTCTCCGGTGCCCTCCTCCCTTCCACTCCCCTAGGTGAGCCCTCAGCCTTTCCTGGCTGCCTCCTCGTTTGAAACATGTGGATGAAATGGGGTGAAAACAGCACTTGAAAACAGGTGTTTTGTAAACTGTACAGGGTGCACAATTTCGCCATCACACCAACAGTCCCTTTTCTTACCTATGGGAACTGAGAACCAGGAGTCCAAGGCCAGAAGAAGCGGAAGCACAGGTAAGAGGCAATTTTAAAATGAAACAGTAAGTTTAGATCAACATGCAAGTCTTGATTAAAGTCTTAAGAGCGAGTATGGTTTTCTTCATGCAACATTTGTGTAAGTTTAAGTTAGCATCACGACTGCAACTAGGCGGTGAGAGGGAGTCTGAGGGCCCGTTCACAGTTAGGGTTCCTGTCGGGATGGAGAGTGAAATGCACAGCAGAGAGGGGAGCCGTCCGAGGCAGGAGAGGGAAGCGAGGCCTTAGCTGCAGGAACACCGAGCGGCAGGCGGGCGTAAGCTGAGGCACTGAAGACCCCGCAGAAAGGCCGAGCGGACCTGCGCCGAGGACGCAGCGGGGCAATGTCTGCAGTGACAGGAAGCAGCTAACGCTCCATGGGACTCGCCACGCGCAGAGCTGCAGCTCAGCTGAAGGCCGGGCATTGGTGATCCACCAAAGTAACTAATGCTCTGCGCACAGGAGCGGACACGTCGGAGTTTTTAGAGGAAAAAAGCAAGGCCGCATGTCTCGATTCAAAGCAATGCCATTCCTACAGGTTAGTCCTGAGAGAGAGAGTTAACTGGTGGCTGCCTGGTTGGACAGACCTGCCTGTGGCTCTGGAAGTTAATGACATGAGCACGGCGGGAGGTGGGTGGCACCTGCCGCCCAGGACCAGACAAGGCAGTCGACGAGCCCATCTTGTTCTTTGTTAGCAAGGGGCTTCGTCACACACTCCCCCCGCACAGGGGTCCTTAACGTCAAACACTGCGCTCCCGTGTGCACAGGGCAGACGGCCTGAGAGGGACTGATGGGCGGTCCCGTGTGAGCGCGGAATGCAGCAGGTCCCCTTCGTAGTGACACACTCAGCCCCGTGAGAGGGGAAAGGAGCTCACTGCCAGC